GATCGGGCTCCAGTGTGAACATGCTACGATGAATAAACGCTGCATGTCTTGCAGGTTTATTCAGTACATCCAGACCAAATGGAAAAGGGATTCAAGCGGGAGACTGGTCAGGAAGACGACATACTAATGTTGTCCTCCCCGGGAGTAGATGCCCTGCTTGAGCAGGCCCACGACGAGGAGCTGACAACGGCGCCCTCATCTGACGTGGCTGAAGAGGTTGTATCAGTAATGACGGCAGCTTCGACATGCGTCCCGTGTCCTGATGTGATACGTGAAATCCCTATGGTCTGTCTAAGTAGTGAGCCAGCAGGCATTCCTTCCCCTGTCCGAATTGCACCAGGGAGAGAAATGAGATGGAGGATTAAATCCCAGAAGGGATGTTACTTTGTTTGTCAAGGCAAGATTATAGATTGCTTTCAGTTTATGAATATTTTGTCTGTAAAGACTGGATGGTTCGGCCCAGAAGTCTGTGACTCTTTTGGGACCGCACCTTTGTTGGATACGAAAAATCATGTTTTGGTTTTCAGCGCCAGCTTCCCACCTCAAATGATGGGATCGCTTCCACGTGGAGAAGCTCCGATGATGGATTTATCTTTATTCTTCTTGGGTGAAGATCCCGCAGATGGGAGAAAGCAGTTTAAAGGTTATGTAACAACCCGCAAAGGGACCTTGTGCTTACCCGTAGCTGATGATGGCATTATGATGAGAATGAGGGTTGATGTGGAGGCCACAGTTAGGTGTCTGAGTGTTCAGCCGTTCCTGAGTGAGATGGATGCTAGATTTATGAAGGCTTGCATTGCTGCTCTATCTTTTTATGGTCCTTTGCCTCAGTTCGTCCCCATGGGGGATGTTGCAAGTCCGAGCAATCGGTCAAGGCTTAGAAACAGTGGTCAGAGACGAGGGTCACACAAGGGTCAAGAGGACAATAGTTCAGGACTTGCTGGTGAGGACAGAACTAGGCAAAGGGTCAAAAGACAGGCTGTCTTCTCTGGATCCACCCATGGACACACCCCTGGGCCCGCCCCTAACTCCACCTCTGGCGGGAAAAGAAGGACTGGCATGGAGTGAGGAAAGTCCAACTGGACCCAGAAGCTCTCAGGAATGCTGGAGGAAGATCTACAATTTGCTACCAACATGAAGATTTATGACCTGTGCTCTCATTCCAGGAGTGCAGCATGTAACTTTTGTGCCCTCATGTGAATACTGCATGTAGTGAAAATGATACCAAATGTCTTATGTAGAGCTAAAAAAGTGTATTTGGTAAATGACCCCTTGACCTAAACTGTCAGGAGAGAATGACTTGTGACTCTTACATTGTTTAGAGCAGTCTCAGAAATGATATAAAAGGATGCAGCTCAGATCGAGGAGGGCTTCGTGCTTGGGGAGATTCTGAGAAGACAAGAGCTAGTGTAAACTAACTCTTATTTAATCATTTTGAACTAATTTCTCCGTGGGGGATAGCAGTTGTTTTTCACTTTACCCATTTTTTGTATTTTGATTTTGTAATAAAACTTTTTTGAAAAAGAAACATAATCCTGATTCTTTCAGGTTTTCTCTAAAGCTTCACGTTTGGGGCCCTGGCCATAATTGCACAGAGGTAAGCATGTCGAAGATCGGTCTCTGAATTATCAGGACTTACTTTACAGTTTATAACAGAATAATATAAAGAAACCTTAAGATAAGGGAAGTTTTAACTTTCCCCTCCTTGCGAGTAACGAGTTGTCTTAAGGGCGATAAAAGCAAAATATTCGAGGTTATTTTGGCTCTGATTGCAGGTTGAAAAAGTCTCTAATCAGCTGGAAGGTTGGATTAATAAATAAATTGATAAAATTATGATAGCCTGATCAACTAGCATAAATCATTTTATAGTTACCAACCTCCCACATAAGCTGTTAGAGGCGCAATTAATTCCGGGTAATCCAAACAATTGCTGAGAGGCTTGGCTTGCCTCCAGACTTCTCTCTAGTATCTTAACCAAAAGGTAACGAGTTTAAAAGAAGTGTAATACTCTGGGGCTGGCTATTCGTGCAAGTCATTTCACCTTTAAAATAAAAGGCAAGATTCTAATTAGGTAGTCCAAACCCGGGTCTAGTACGATTATACTCGTCGATACACCCCCGAACCCTGATGGATGCACCGTCTCATAAGTTCTAACGGAACTGGGTTTTAAAGGAACCGGTAAATGGGACGGGCACGCGACAAGTACACATGTAATCCCAAATAAACATGTTTAGAGATGCAACATAAACAAACAGACACATCACAGGTTTGCAGGTATATGTAGAAAGACAGTCATAATAAAGTTATTGACTGAAGAGAGTAATCTTTTTAGCAAATAATTTACATCAATCCTTGTTAGTATCATTATTCAACTTGTCAAAAATATATTTCAATATACCTGGGTGCCTCCATCACTATCAGATGAATTTGAAAGATCCTGCAGATCTGTGATGGAATCGCCTGAGTGACATCCATCTTCTTCATCTTCAAGAAGCCCCTTTTCCTTAGATGAGTGATCTGTTGAAGCTCCCTCTTTTGTACAAATGTAAAATCTGAGCAGCTTCAGTTTAGTTTGTTCATACATTTGGCCAATAGTGCTATCCAAGGGAATCTTGTTCTTTTTAAAATCACAGATGCCAAATGTGAAGTCTTCAGCTGGTCCTTTTGTTGAGCGCCCATCAGGGAAAAACAGCTCCTTTCCTAATTCCATGATCTGAGCAACAGTTGTTTTTGCCAGTGTTGCATGTCTTGTGCCTCCACCACTGTTGGTCCGTACTTGACTGTATCCATTACTGCCAAAATGAAGCCATCCAATTTCAACCTTCCTTGAAGTCTTCTCTGCTGCCATATTTTTTTGTCTGGCCATGGTACATTGGGGTTCATCTGGTGTACCACTCACTGATCCTCTTGTCTTGGACTTCATCTTGCGTGCCCCTATTTTACATTTTAATCTCTGTAATAGAGTCTCTTTATTGGTGCTATGACACTGCGTTTGTTCACAGAAAGATAGGACAGCTACTCGGTCACCATATGACGTGATGTATTTTGACATTTGCTCATCAGTCATGATGCGCAATACTGCCTTGTCAACCTGCAGAGAGACAGAGAGAGAGAGAGAGAGAGAGAGAGAGAGAGAGAGAGAGAGAGAGAGAGAAGAGAGAGAGAGAGAGAGAGAGAGAGAGAGAGAGAGAGAGAGAGAGAGAAGGAGCTAGAGAAAGGGATGAATAATAGAATGGAGCAGAGACAGAATGTGAGGAAGGAGGGAGGGAAGGATGAAGGGAGGAGGGAAGGATGAAGGGAGGAGAGGGAAGGATGGAGGGAGGGAAGGAAGGATGAGGGAGAGGAGGGAGGAAGGATGGAGGGAGAGGAGATAAAATACAGAGGGAGGAGAGAGAACATTTTTGCATTTTTAAAGTGTATATGAATGTGCAGTTTTTCCTAATTCTATTTGTTTATTCTTTTTAACAGGATGAGTTAGATGACACTGTCCAGGTTTGGAATGCACACGTCATCCGACCATCAAGGAACATCCATGTCCCAAGTGGTCGGCCCAATGTGATGTATGCATTGCCTCAGCTCAATGGGACCAGAGACTTTCTTTCCCCTGTTGAAGATGAACCTCTTCAGCTGTGCAAAGATGAATGCGTCTTTCGCCGGCCGATACCATGCGATCAAGATGTTTATGAACTATGCAACATCTTCATTGCGGAGTCCCATCTGACCTTGCCATCAGATCCCTATCAGGCTATGACTTTGTATAGGCACCTAAGAGAGGCCATCACTGCATCTTTGTGATTCAGGGATATTTCTTTATGCCCTGTATGGGAACAATAAAGTACCCACTATTTGATAGATAGTTGATTTATCATTTTAATTTTTCTTCTAAAAAATTCAAAAAATATTTTGCATTTCCCACTATAGGTTCATCTATTTCTCAAAACATGTTCATATATTGCAGTAGTTGACAGTGAAGATACAGTATGTGCACGTGAACAAACTCTGTAGCCAAGCTTGTGATGTCAGAGTGTAGCAGAAAATTTATTATTCTGTATGAACTGTAAAAAAACATGTGAAATCTGCTACCTTGAACTTGGCCATATCTGACTGGTTTGTCAATAAAAAACAAGTGATATAAAAATTTACACTGCAGTACTTATAGGTCACGTAATGACAAAATGCACTCACATTCAATAAAAATGTATGTGGTGGCATTAAGTTCCACTAGTAAATTAATGTAATGGAAATATTACAATCTTTCTGAAGGCCATCTCACACAGGCAACCGCAGCTTATACAGAACATTTTGTAAACAGGAACACTCATCTCTACAGTGAGTATCAAACTTTTTCTGAATAAGGAACATTCTGGTGTGAATTTCAATTGATATTCCACCTTTATGTAGAATTTTATCTTTAGTTATATTTCAGAAAAAAAAACCTTGCCCTGTCATTCCCCTCATCTGGCTGCAGCCAGTTTGCTTTGGTTACACATTAAAACAAAGTAAATGGGAACAACGAGCATTTTGCTGGTTATATTCCCTTACATTGTTTTATGCTAAATTAGCGCGAACTGGCTGCTGCCAGATGGGAAGAATGACAGGTCAGGTTACTAAATGTTTTTTCCTAACTTTTCAAACTCAGGGGAATATGACAAAAGATAAAATTCTAAATAAAGGTGGAATATCCATTTGACATTAGCATTACACTAATGTTCTTTAAGGAACAAGTTCAGCAATGAAGCTGGGTTATACTCAAACTGGTGGAAATAAAAGCTGCAGTCATTTTCAAAGTATATTTCAAAACAAAATTACTGTAAAAACTATGGAGGTGACCTATTACACCAATGAAAAAATCAAATTGCAAGCTAATATAAATTTAAATGAACAACTGCTTACTCCAATTTTCAGTGCATCAAGTTGTTTAAATTATAACAAAAAATAAATAAAATCAACCATACAATAAGGCCTATTACTATGTGGCCTTTTCAACATCACGTGCAAGTTCAAATAATGTCCATATCTAAGTAGTTGCTGGACAGGATATTGTCAAATTCTGTGCGGAATTCTGGGTAAGAACTGTATGTACATGGTACATCAAGTGTAGCTCCACAGGTGTGAGCAACAGGCCTTCTGTTGAGGCCAGTTTCTGCATTAAAGCTAACCATAATTTTCTCAACACAAATAACTGAGGAACCTGTGCAGAAACGCAGGATTTTCTCAGCTTTGGCTTGATCAGCATTTTTCACATAACGCTGGAGATGGTAAAAGGTTGCTTGTTCTCTCTGAGACAGCACCACCTTTGTTGTTTCAAACAGTTGCATCACTCTTTTGCCTGTGGGCTTCTTTAACTCATACAGATTTAACACACTGTCCTTATCTGGTAGTTTCAGCTTTACATGTGACATGGGAGTGGAGAAGCAATCAACTATATACTTCGGCTCTTGGAGAATGGCTTTGTGGGCCATCATTTCTATGGCAGACTTCATGCCATTCTGTGGAGGTAAGGAATGAGAACCCATCCGTGTGAAAAGGTCCATCAAGTCCTCTTGATCACTTTCTTCCATTGTGCCCTGGAGAGCCTTCTCAACAGCTGATCTTTCGATAGGAGGCAGGTAGTTGAGAAACGATGACATCAAGGTCTCTGTATCAACGTAGTCAATTCCGTTGATGCATGCTAAAATGAAAGCCAGGGAAAGCTTCACTGGCATTACACCATGATCGAGAAATCCTTTTACCCAAATGCGTCCAACCGCTTGCCATTCAGCCTCAGAGAAATCTGGCCTCAGCCTTGGAACTCGCTCCATTTCCCCCTCACACTGTTCAAGAACTTGCTCCCAGAAGGCTGTGTACACCTCCCTAGACACACCAGCATCATCAACGGCTTTTTCGTTTACAAAATCCATCTTTAAAGTCACATTCATGATGCTGCTGTCGGTAAATACAGCCAAAAGATCATCGACAACCTTTATCCTGCAAATTGAAGCACGCCGCATGGTCTGTGGATTTCCTGCGATGCTGGACGATGTTGTTGAGGAAATCTGGCTGCTTGAATCCGATGGCAAATTCAGCTCACTGTCCAGCTGGAAGAACAAAATACATAAAAAACAGAGCGAGTGACTAATGAGTAAAGCAGAAGCCAAAGTAGCCCTTACCATGTTTGTGCCAAGGTTGAAGTAGCTTTGGGCCCTATGTTTCACATAAAAAGAAAACCCAAGCATATTTTATATGATGTCACAAACCCCCTCGTCAAACTGCTTTCTATTCAAAATGTGTGATCTCTTACCCCAGTACAAGATAACCTTGAGAACATCAAAGTTAAAATGGTGTGTCTTACCTGAGCAGTTTGCGCTGCCTCCTCACGTATGAATAGCTGCTCATCCAGTCCAGTTAGGCCATCGCCTGAAGGTGCTAGAAGCTGTATAACCTGTGTAGGGGCTCCACTCACCTCAGCAATCTGAAAAATATAATACATCCCAGAAGAAACATTAAAGCATAAATATATGATGTCATTGCTGACCTTTTTTATAGGTCTTTCTAAATTACTCTTCTTCAGTGTAACTTCTGGAAAAAAAAATCAGAAATTCTCCACATACCATGTAAAAACTCACTTAGGTTTTGAGAAATGAAAACACTCTTACATTTTAGAGACATAACATTATAATAAATTCATAAGTCAGAGTTACAATTTCTGCATAATCCCAGGAATTAGATCAAAAGGCCCTAACTGAATTCCACTTTCACTAAAGATAATTATTTGTTTTCAGTACAAGTTGATCATGACACACCAGTAAATATTTGAAATGAAAGTTCATGAAGAATATTTTCAAACAGAAAATCTTTCATACCTGTATGACATCATCTCCCTCAAAATGGTTAAAATTTACAACCACCACACCATCGTCATCGGAATCCCACACAAGTGTATCGGCCTCTTCAAACGGGGGCTTCGGTAAACTAAGCTCACTTCTGTTTTGTCTTTGTCCAATGTTACTACTTGTAATGTCTGTTGGGGTTGACTGAAAGGGATGTGGTGGACCTGGGCTTTGTGCTGTCTCCGTCTCAAGTATTTCCCTTCTCTTTTTTGATCTTGTTTGCATCTGAAAACACAGCAAAGACAGTAGGCTTTAATGTAGTATGCAGTAATATTAGAACATATTCCACATTTATTATAACATGCTGTGTAAGATTACACATTAAAACACAGTATATTAAACGTTATAATCCCTACTGACATATGAGTTTGACTTTTCTCTTTATTTTATCAGTGCCTGGTGCTTTAAGACCCATGACAAAAAGACATGCTGCACAGAGAAAACAATGAAGGTAAATTAATGTGCTGTTCCTCAAAACTTTAAATATTTACAATATATCATCCAACAACTCCAAAAGACTGAATAGAGAAGTTGTGACCTGTGCATTCACCACAGAATGAAATAATGAACATTACCCGAGTGTTTTTCGTGCCAAAAATAAAGCTGGAACATCATTTCAGACATCGCGCTGTAATGAGTGATTTCAAACAGCGCATGTTTAGTTCACCTCCATTGTGTTCACTGTGCAACACACACATCACCTCGAGAAATTAACAGGCACTGATAATTAAATTGAATTTACCTACGGTGCTCATATGACTATGGGGATTACAGAAATAGGCTAATTTAACAAATGCTGAACTATCGCTTAAGAATAACGCACATCTCGGCAATCATTTTTAGATTGTCCTGCATCTTGTCTCAGTCTCTATAATGCAATGGCAGAAAAACGTATATTAATGATATAATTGTGAGAAAGGTGTGTACCACAGACAGTCATACAACAATAATGCAAAACATAAAGCCTTGTTAGTACACATGTAATCCCAAATAAACATGTTTAGAGATGCAACATAAACAAACAGACACATCACAGGTTTGCAGGTATATGTAGAAAGACAGTCATAATAAAGTTATTGACTGAAGAGAGTAATCTTTTTAGCAAATAATTTACATCAATCCTTGTTAGTATCATTATTCAACTTGTCAAAAATATATTTCAATATACCTGGGTGCCTCCATCACTATCAGATGAATTTGAAAGATCCTGCAGATCTGTGATGGAATCGCCTGAGTGACATCCATCTTCTTCATCTTCAAGAAGCCCCTTTTCCTTAGATGAGTGATCTGTTGAAGCTCCCTCTTTTGTACAAATGTAAAATCTGAGCAGCTTCAGTTTAGTTTGTTCATACATTTGGCCAATAGTGCTATCCAAGGGAATCTTGTTCTTTTTAAAATCACAGATGCCAAATGTGAAGTCTTCAGCTGGTCCTTTTGTTGAGCGCCCATCAGGGAAAAACAGCTCCTTTCCTAATTCCATGATCTGAGCAACAGTTGTTGTTTTTGCCAGTGTTGCATGTCTTGTGCCTCCACCACTGTTGGTCCGTACTTGACTGTATCCATTACTGCCAAAATGAAGCCATCCAATTTCAACCTTCCTTGAAGTCTTCTCTGCTGCCATATTTTTTTGTCTGGCCATGGTACTTTGGGGTTCATCTGGTGTACCACTCACTGATCCTCTTGTCTTGGACTTCATCTTGCGTGCCCCTATTTTACATTTTAATCTCTGTAATAGAGTCTCTTTATTGGTGCTATGACACTGCGTTTGTTCACAGAAAGATAGGACAGCTACTCGGTCACCATATGACGTAATGTATTTTGACATTTGCTCATCAGTCATGATGCGCAATACTGCCTTGTCAACCTGCAGAGAGACAGAGAGAGAGAGAGAGAGAAAGAGAGAGATAGAGAGAGAGAGAGAGAAATAATAGTTTCAATGCAGTGTTTCAGTGGTAACCTGCATCTGTAAACAGATGGGATCTTAGAGTACAGTACAAGTTTCCACATATTACCAGACAGAATGCTAGCTTTCTGCACACAAATCCCATTTTGTCTATTTCTAGGAATAAGAGCTGGTTTAGCCCTGCAAGGGACACATTTATTTATTCAAATGCATTAACTTACCGGTACTGACTATAGTGACAGACTCCCTTTTAACAGTTTTAAAAGCCCCTTCCATGAAACAATTTTGACTGGCAACCTGACACGTGCACTTTTATTCATTAAATAATTCCAGTTCTCGCTAATCAATTTCCCTCTGGGATTAATAAAGTATTTTTGAATTTTGAATTGAATTTGAATCTGCAGTTAATGTACAAATTATTTTGGCAGATGAGAATTCCAAGATTCAGCATCATTAAAAAAAATAAAAATACATACAAACATACAAAAACGCATCCAGGTAATCTCAACCTGAACAAAGCCAAAGGCTTACCTCACCATATCACCTTAAGCCACCTGTACGTGTAGGCGTTATTAATTTCTCTATTGTTATACTATAAACATACACTGGCTAATCTGATAATGTGATACTCTGTCGTTAATTTGGTAACGACGATACAGTTCTTAACAGTTTGCTGAGAATAGTCCGTGTGCGCATTACTTTTGTTCGTTGTTCAAATTTAATCGTATCATTGCCATCACTGGTATTAGGTACAGTAATTAGGCTATCAAGTGTGCCGTTCATAAACAAAAACGAAACGATTAAGATTTCAGCTAACCATACTAGTATTAGCTTATGATAGCATAGCATTACTGCTAACTTTGTTACCCACGAGTGTTCTTACATTTACACTGAATGAACGGCATGCTTACTCACCTTGTCTCTCTTCATCCGTGTAATATCATCCTTTGGGACCTCTCTACAAATTAAGAACTGCTCCAAATCATCCTCCATGCTTGCAACTGAGCGGCCCCACAGTAGATGGTGCTGCGTGACTGAGATGATGCTGCGTGACATTTTCTTCAGGTTCACGGTCACGGGGAACCTTTTATTTTTTATTTTTTTTTTAATAAACTTTATTTAACAAACAATGAGTATACAACATAGAAACGAATGAAGTATACAAAACAACAGAATATGAACACACAAAGCCAGGGGTAAAAGAAAAAAGTAACAGTTATAAGAATACACGCAAAAATTCACATATATATATTGTTTTGAGAGCCTTTTTGTTGGTGGATTCTGATAGTGATTTTATGTACAATTCCACATCCTTAAAAAAAATGACAGAAATATGGTGTTTTGTTGGTAAACTTACATTTGTGAATAAAGAATTTAGCTAAGAGTATTAACAGATTTATCATAAAAAAACATTTATCATTCTTCATGGGGAACTTAAAGAAACAGAATAAAACATTTTCCCATCGTAAAGAAAACTCCCTTAAAATATGGACAGTAACAAACCTGCTAAATTCCTTCCAGAATCTTTGTGTATAAGAACAGCACCAAAAAAGATGTGTCACAGTTTCTGGATGATCCCCACAGAAAGTACAATTAGTATTTATGTCCCTTTTAAATTTTACCATGTAATGACTGGCTGGATAACATTTATGTAGAAGTTTAAATGAGACTTCTTTCACCTTATTTACAATCAAATATTTCTGGGGGATCATCCAGACTGTCTTCCACTTGATATCTGGAACATATCGGTTCCAATGAGATATTATATACGGGAGAGAGACGATATCTTCCTGGAATAAACTACGGATTCTCTTATTGCTGTTACCAAGTTCTTGAGAAAAGCAGATTTTTCCTATTGGTGACTCAACTGGATCAGGGAGTGTTACTGAGGTAGATATTGAGCTGTCAGTGTTTTTATATAACATTAAAGTCCCTGAGGGTATGGCACCAAGCACCATTGAGAATTCCTGAACACTGACTGGGAAATTATATAGGGCAATAAAGTCGTTGTAAGTAAGTAGTTGTCCCTCTTTATTAACCAGCTGAGCCACCAATAGGATCCCATTCTGGACCCAAGTTTCCAGGAAAAGTGATTTATTTTTAAATAAAATATCTCTGTTGTTCCAGATAAGATATTTGTGAGGTGAGAAATTGTGTTTATAAATGAGGGTCCACGCTAAGAGGACTTGCTTATGGAAGGATGAAAGTTTTATAGGGAGTTTCTCAACATTGTAATTACTATTTAAAATAAAATTAAAGCCACCAAAACGAGAGAAAATATGATATGGTATAAGGTTCCAGATAGAAGTAGGGTTTTTAAGAAAATGTTTAGCCCAATTAATTTTGAAAGTGTTATTTAAAGTAGAAAAGTCTAGGACGTTAAGCCCACCTGATTCGTACTTATTCATCACAACAGTTTTCCTAATATAATGCGTACGGTTTTTCCATATAAAATTAAAGAGCATACGGTCAATATCTTTACCAATTTCCTTATCCAGATGTAAAGAGAGAGCAGCATATGTTAAACGGGATAACCCTTCAGCTTTAGTAATTAACACTCTACCTTTCAAAGACAAGTCCCTCTGCAGCCAGTGGTTAAACTTTTTTAGGGTTTTCTGTATAATTGGAGTGAAGTTTAAAGAGCATCTTGACTTTTGATCTTTGGATATTAACAGTCCCAGGTATGTGACTTCCTTTCTAACAGAAATATTACAGACAGTATTTGCAAGGCAGTCTTTAATTGCTAACAACTCACACTTTTTTAGATTTAGGCATAAACCAGAGGCCTCAGAGAAGTCACTAATCACACTAAGAGCTAGAGGGATTTGGTTTGCATTTTTTAAGAAGAGTGTGGTGTCATCAGCTAACTGGCTAATCACGATCTCCTTATCAGCTATGGTGATTCCTTGTACAACACTGTTTGAAATATTAGTTGCAAGAATTTGTGTACAAAGTAAAAATAAATATGGTGATATAGGACATCCTTGGCGAATACCACGTTTCAGGTCAAATCTCGGGGTGGAGCCGTTAATCATTTTAATAGAACTATTGCCATTTGTATATAAGGTTTTGACAGCTTTACAGAAAAACCTGCCGAAGCCAAATTTTTCCAAAGAGTGGAAAATAAATTGATGTTCAATTGTATCAAAAGCCTTATAAAAATCCAGGAAGAGAATGAAGCTATTGTCAGATACCAAATCAGAGTAATCAAGTAAATCCAATACCAGTCTAATGTTATTAGAAATGTGTCTATTTCTCATAAAGCCTGATTGTGTCTCATCAATAATTGTGTCCAAGACCTCTTTAATCCTGTTAGCAAGTATTAAAGCCATAATCTTATAGTCATTATTGAGCAGGGAGATGGGTCTCCAATTATCAATAAAAAGTAAGTCTTTGTTAGGTTTTGGAACAAGTGTTATGAGACCTTGAGTAAGAGTAGGAGGGAGGGTGTTATTCTCTATACTTTCTGTAAAAACCTGCAGTAAAAATGGGGCCAGGAGATTAGAAAAAGATTTATAAAACTCTGCAGTCAAACCATCTGTGCCGGGAGATTTATTGGCCTTAAGTGCAGAAATGGAAGTACAGACTTCTTCCACAGTCAGAGGGCTGTCACAATAAATTCTATCTTCCACAACAATCGTTTTTAGGTTTTTAATATTATTGAGAAATCCTGTTGAGACAACCTCATTATATTTTGATTTGTATAGTTTAGTATAGAATTCGGCACAGAAATATGAAATTTCTCCAGGATTGTCAGAGACAATGCCATTAATATTTAGTTGATGAATAGAGTTCATTTTTGATCTGTATTTTTCAAGCCTGAAAAAGTAAGCAGAATTTTGTTCTCCCTCCTCCAGCCACCTCTTCCTGGATCTTACAAAAGCACCCTCAGCCTTGCGCCGATATAAACCGTCCAATTTATTTTGAAGTTCTAGTAAACTTAACTTATCTTCCTCTGAGATTTCTTCTGGGGACTTCTGGTAATAAGAGGCAATTCTGCTTATTACGTCTTGTTCTTCAACTTTCCTTAATTTAGCAATGTGACTCCCGTATCTTCTCAAGAATTTGCATGCTTCAAATTTAAAAAGTTCCCAGTTTCTACAAAAGGATTTCTCTCTGTTAGCTTTATTCCAATAATAACCGATTAATTTATGAATCTGCATGTTAACCATTTTATCTTTTAGCAAAGAGTTATTTAACTTCCAATAAGAGAAATTATGAGGTATATTATCCAGTGTAATTATTTGGATGTTAATGTGAATTGCTCGATGATCAGTGAGGGGGGTGGCATGTATATTAACGGTAATATTATCTTTATCAATGCAGTCAGAAACAAGCCAGAAGTCAATACGTGATTGCCTGGATCCTGTCTTATTGCTCCAAGTAAAGAGTCTATCATCTGGACATTTTTTTCTCCAAATATCCACAACATTAAATTTTCCCATAAATTTTTTTAAGTTTGCACTATATGAGGATTGCTGCCCTGGAGGCCATCTATCAACCGTATTGTCTAAAGCGATGTTAAAGTCTCCACCAATTAATAGGACTGAATTTGGGTATTTGAAGAGCCAGAAATTAATTCTTTCTTCTAAGGAGTCGAGTAATTTATCATTTTCTGTTTTATTATTGTACCCATATATATTTACTGCAATGAAAGTACTGTTACTGTGTCTGATTATTGAGCAGAGGTAGTGTCCTAAGGTGTCACAGTCAGAGTGTAATACATCCCCAGAAAAATTATTTTTAAACGTGGCAACTCCAGCAGAACGCTCAGAGCCATGGGACAACCATATGTCATTACCCCATTGCGATTTCCAAAAGTTTATATCAGCAGGTGTGGAATGACACTCTTGGAAAAAGCAAAAATCTGTTTTAAATTGTTTGGCAAACAAAAATAAAGCTTTGCGTTTACATGTTTGTCTTAAACCCCTGGTATTAAGAGAAACAAATGAAAAAGACAAAAGTTATTAGAAAAGAGATTAATAGAGAAAGTAGGTTCTAAACATCTACAGCTAAGAATAGATCTATAGAATAAGGGGACCGGGTGCTGCACAATTTAAGTAATAAAACAGCAGAAACCCTGAGTAACTAAGCTTATAAAAATATAGAATTTAACTATCTGCTATGGTTTAAATATAGCTTTTATAAGCAAACACACTCTTCAACACAAAACAAAACTTTAACCTGAGGGTGAAAATATAAAGTTCTCCATGTAAACAAACTTGCAGAAATGTTAGGTTGGAGACTGAATAAGCCTCTCTATGAAGGAGGGAAAACTTCTGATCCACTGATGAATCCTCGACCTCCCACGAAATAAGCTGGCTTACCCTCCTTACGGGCTTTGTCTATCATCGGCCACAGTTTGTCACGACGTTCTTTGTCCTCCCTGGACAGATCTTCAGCGAACCTCAAATGATTGTTCTGCAGGTAGGAGGAAGTTTTGGCTGCTTTCCATACAGCATCTCTGTAGATTCGGGAGGTGAACTGCACGATGATGCCTCTAGGTCTGGTGCTACCTTGTCGCTTGGCTCCGAGTCGGTGTACGGTGTCGATGACGTCAGGCAGCCTATGATTTTGTGTTGGCAGAACAGACTTGCATATCTCAATC